AGGGCCCCCGCCCCGTCCTTGCTGCGGCTCCTGCACACCCTGCCCCTGTCCCGGCAGCAGGTCTCGTTCCTCCCAAACCAGAAGGAAACTCAAGAAGCCCTCAGGTCATCAGCCCACAGCCTTTGCTGGGTAGTCCCATTCCTTCCCTCCCCTGCAGTAATTCAAACATGCTGCTGTTATCTGATCACAGGAAACAGCTGTCTGTTAGGAACAGAACGGGATTTCTACGCCGGGGATGTTAAAACTGCCAGGGATGCAGTAGAATAAACCAAGGCATGGCCTGCAGACCTTCGCTCAGGATTAGAAGCAAACACTGAAAGGAGTTTTGTGAGGTTTGCCGAGGGAAAACAGAATAGTTGTTCCCCTTATATTAAAATGCCTCTGGAAGGTCAGCTCCTGGAGGACCTCTCATCTCCATCACTGACTGGAGCAGGATAAAACGAGCTGCTGGGTCTCAAGCCAAACCGTGCTTTTTTTGCCGAATAAATGGCCACAACGCTGCTAAGAAGTGTGCTGTGCTCTTACCTTTCTTAGTTGCTTCGAAGCTGTCGTGGAAGTGTATCCTCTGAATGTCATAGGTGAGCGTTGTGTTAGGCAGCAAAGTTCTGTTTCTATTGATAATATTGGCAGAAAATCGGAAGGCTTGCTCCTCGGCGCTCATCACCTGCGTGTTGGGGCCATCCGCGTACTCGAAGATTCCTCCTGCAAGACAAGGCCAAACCAGCGCTGAGCCACAGAGACTTTGGTTCATAATTTTAGGTGCCAAGAAGGAGAAAGCTCTGGCACAGAGCTGTGGCGTTGGCAGGCTGAGCAAGGCTTGCTCCAGGACACCTCCTGGGCTGAAATAAAGACCTTAAAGCATTTGGGGTTTTGTTACATGCTGGTCCGTGTTCAGAAGAGCAGCTTTGCAGGGCAGTACGGGACAGATTTAAAGTCTTGGAATATTTTTATGAGACAGATAAGTGGCTTCCCATAAAACTTTAGGACCAGACCTTGGGAAGTGCGGGCAGGCTCATTGCTCAGCTGCAGGGATGCTCCAGGTCTGCGCTCGGTGGAGTCACTGCAGTGCAAACCTGGCACTTCCCTTCCCTCCGTGCCACGCTGGACCCCTGCCCGCCTCGCCCACCCATCGCCAAGCCTCATGCAGGAGGCAGGCAGCGCAGCACTGCTGCTTGCTATTTTTGGTGCCATTTTTAGTGCCCTTCTCATCTTCTATTGTTCCTCATGTTTAGTTATCCGAGTTCTTAATTCAGACCAGCAGAGACTTCTGAATTTGCCTACCCTACAGCTTATCTGCTCGCTAATGCACATCTTGGATGCATGCTTTCCCGTGTTCAAAAGTTGTTAATGCCACTGCACCTCCCCAAGGGCAACAAGCTCGTGTCACAGTATCGCTGGGTTTCTTGGCTGTGTTCTGTGAGTCTTGTCCTCAGTTCCCCACTGACAGCCACTCTAATTGAAGTGACTCAGTGCGGGTGTAAATTATGTAATTGCATGTCCTTGTCTCGGAGGTGTAGGCACCGTCCTGTGCCCCTTACAGAACCGCGGAAAGACACGTAAACCTTGCTCTATCTTATTAAAAAGTAAACCAAAATAATTAATGGATGAGCGAGATGAGCAAGTACAATTGGTAACAGATGGTCTCTGGGTTCATTAGCAGAAGGAAAATCTTCCTCTTCAATTTAAGGTAACCTAAAATGTTTTGTTACAGACAACAGATGTCTACTCTGCCCTCCTAGTTTTAAGGCAACTGCATTAATCCTCCTCCAGGAGCCAGAACACGTTGTCTGTGGCTTTTCTGGCAATTTGATGTAAGCGGCGAGTGCCGCTTTGGCCAGAGCCGAGCTGACACCCCGGTGACAGCCACGCGCTGCACCCCCTCACCAGGACCCGACCGAAGCCGCGGGAGCGATGCCCGCAGCCTGTCGCAGCGCGGGGGCAACAGTGGCTGCAGACGGCCTCTGACTTTTCTGCTCCCCGTGGTGGTGGCAGGTCATCCCCTCCTCTGCCCCTCAGACTTTGTGCATCCGTGTCCTCAGTCGTAAAGCGAGTGCGGTAATTAATTGCATTCAGAAATGTCCAAAACCCTGTGAGCTGTTCGCTGCGTGTCTCTGATAGCAGTGTAGGCAGCAACCAGCAGAAATGTCCAAGTGCCTCGTTCTCACTGGATAATGCCAAAACATTTGGTTACTGACTGGTGCGAGGAAAATCATTCACCCGTGTCAGTTTGCACATGCTGGCAGCTCAGTCTCAATCTCTCAGGGCCGAGAAAGTTCATACACGATATTACAGCAGAAACAATAAACAAAACTGAAGTGAGCATGAGAGTCATCCCTGTCTTTCTTTTCAAAGCTTTACTGGCCACAACATTTTAGCAAAGGATTTTTTGTTTTCTGGCATCATCCTGCAGTGATAACTGGGTGCACGTTGCAACGATTATCAACTACCTGACATGGAGCTTCCTCCGAGCCTGGAGCTTGCAGGGTTGCTGTGGAGCATGTCTCACCACGACAGAATACAGAAGGACTGGGCATGTGGATTACTGGTGTTTGATCCCAAACAAATTTATGTTCCAGACATCCAGCTGGATATAATAGGCTTTTTGACAGAAAAGGATTTTCTGTGCAGCCACCCGTTACCTTGAGTTT